CAACCTCAAGAAAAGTAGCATTCTTCTGCTGTTCCATGCCCTCTATCAAACCCATAGAACTTCACAGGTAGTGGCATTTCTGCCATTCTGTGCCCTCCAGGCTTCATCATCCCCCTAGAACCTCGGGTTTCAAGGACCCGCACCTGAAGTTGAACCCCTTTACCAACTTTGCCCCTTTTATGTTGATCATCAAAGGTAGTGGCATTATTCTGGGATTCTATTCCCTTAATTACATCATTCACCTTTCATCTACCACTCTATGCCTGCCACCGCAGCCCTACAACCTCACGGCTGGTGGTATTCTTCTACCATTCTTTGCCCTAGTCACATCCCTAGAGCCTTCAGAACAGCAGCATTCTTTTGCCATTCTATGCCTATCACACCCCTAAAATCTCAAGCTTCAACGATCTGTACTTTAGGTTGTACCCCTTTGCCAACCAACCTTGATAATGGTAGCATTACTCTGCCATGCTATGCCCCTCATCACATCCCAAGTACCCCTAAAAGAGCTGCACTCTTCTGTTATTCCATGTTCTCTATCACACTCCATGAACCTCATGGATGGTGGCATTCTTCTATCATTCCATGCCCTCCATCACACCCCTTGAACCTCAAGCCTCATGGGATCTTTACCTGAAGTTGTAGCCCTTTGCCAACTTCGCCTCGCTGTTGTCAATCCTTGAGAATGTGTAAAGTGGTGTACAGTCTTTCCACGAGTAGTCCAGGTTACAATCCCAGTTGATTGAAATTCCAATGACACCCCCCTGACACCAGAAAGGACAAGAAATCTCAAAATTTCAGACTATCCAAACTCAATGTTACACTGGGCCAGCAGGGTTTATTTTGGTTTTAAATTGTGGACAGAAATAACTTTAAGAGTAAAGAAAAAGGAGGTGATGATGATGCCACTCACACTATAAGCTAATTTGTTGAAATCCTCGCCAGTTGCTGCAACAATGTCTCCGAGCTTGAAAATGGGACAGAAAGGATCTGTCTCATTGTTGTACATACAACCTGAAAGATAACTCTTGTTGGAACTTTCCAATATATTGCGTCTGAAATAAAGAAAATAAAAATGAACCTTTTTTTTTCAAATCGAAATTGCTCTTAACACTTTTCAGAGATTAGTTCATGTTTTCCATTGCGACAAGGCTGTAACTTTCTGAATCAGGAAGGGACTAGTTGAAAGGCTTTACTGAAAAATGTTTATATTCTACATCGAGTTCGGTTCAGATCCACCTTTGTTAAACTCAGCCAGAAAAATCTTCAAATGAAAAGGAAATGAAAAACAGATCACACGCACACTCCAATTCCTGAGGGCTGTTTGGGAATAAAGAGGAATCTGTACTTACTTGGAGAAGTGAAATTTGGGGTAGGTGGCTGTGTTCTTGATCAAAACAGTGAAACGCTTTGCATCCTTCAGCACGGGCTCGCTCTGCCTATCAGTGGGATGAAAAAAGAAGTGCTTTGAGGAGCAGAAAAACACCAAGTTAGTCCATCGTGTTCGTGTTCATCCCCGATGTTCTCTGTGCTCAGTAATACTCTCCACAGTGGCCAAATCCAAATTTTACCAGTGGCCCATGCTCCCCAGCTAAGGGGTTGTTTTCTGATATAAGGACACCGATACTGATGCATTTGAGCACATTTGTGCCAAGCCATTTGTTTAAAGTAGAACTCCTAACATGCAAGCATGCAGTACATGTCCATCCTTCCATGGTTCTGTCGTGTGGGCCACACAGCACCGCCATGCTGATTTTATGCAAGTTATATGTTGAAGCCTGCGATGGACAGTGTTTGCACTCTTCAGTGCATGGATCAACCGTTGTTTTCTTTCAGTGGCGCTTTCAGCTACTCAGGCTATTTGCGCCTGGATCAACTGTTTCCTTGGCCAAGTATAACGACACAACGAATACTGTGCATTATCCATGGCGACAAGCGGCGCTGCTCAGCCATGGAATGCTCTAACCCATTTGTGCAAATCAGTGGCTTGCTGTTCACAAAGTAATTTCACTTCAATGTACGCAAACTAATAAAATCAAGATGTTTCTTGCAATGTATACCGTGTGATTTACTTGGGGCGAGAAACAGTATGAGACATGCAACACTTGTCAGAACAGAAAACAAAAAGCACTTTATGGTAAAACTTTGGGTCTCCACTCACGCATGGTACCATATCCTGTTTATACAGTTTGTATTCGGTCTAATGAATTGTTAAACATCTGCAAACAACAACCAAAATGTCCCATTTACTCATGAGGGAACAGTCAACAGTCAACAGACCCAAGCACTGTCACACCATGGTGACGGTGCTTGAGTGTCTTCCAGTGAGGGTGTTCCTTTATGCTTTTAAGACTGTGGGCATACATGGAATCTTTTGTCAGAACCTGCACGGGCAGTCTGTTGTCTTTCATGCCGGTTTAAGGACAGAGCCAAGTGGCTGATCCTCCCACCTGGGAATTGAGATGGACCCAGGAGGAAATTAGCCCGAGTAGGACCCAACAGAAAAAGGAGTCATGACATCATGAGAAGTGACTGGGATTCTTCACTTAAAAAAAATCAGGGCTTGAATTTTGACTTTTTGGGGGCTCTGCCATTTTGGCCTCAAGAAATGGGACACTTTAGGGGGCACCGCGGCCAGTATCAGGGGCAACAAGGCCAAAATTTCTACAAAGGAAAGGCACAGAGACCAAGGTGTAAAATTAGTCTGCAAAACGAGCTTAGAAACTGGAAAAACGAAAAATTGTGTTTTATGTGCTGGAGCTGTCATATTTAAATATTTAATAACCCAGTAAACACATGAAAAATTTCTTATGACAAAACAGGATGATTATTACGGGATCGAACAGGCACATTTTCCGACAAAGTATTTCTTAATTTAGAGAAAATTAATTCATACAAAGAATTCCAGTGAATGAAACCATAGATTAAACAAAGAGAACATGTTTTGTTTGAATTTGATGCATCTTTTTCGACTGCACAGCGCACGCTTACCGTCTGACCACATTCCCCCGCGCCATAAAGTTGAACGACTCGTTATGTCATGTAAGAATAAGTAACGCACGTGTAGTTGAGTCTACTGCATGCATGCATACACAACCTGAAACTGGGGGGGGGGCAAAAGACCTAGCTGTGGAGGCCGGTTTCGG